AAAACCATAATTTGGAATGCACAGGTTTCACTCCCTCCAACCAATCAGCTCTCAGCATAGACTATAAATAACAGCAACCCAACCAATCATCTCTCAGCATAGACTATAAATAACAGCAATCCAACCAATCATCTCTCAACACAGACTGTAAATAACAGCAATCCAACCAATCAGCTCTCAGCACAGACTATAAATAACATCGATCCAACCAATCAGCTCTTAGCATGGACTATAAATAACAGCAATCCAACCAATCATCTCTCAGCACAGACTATAAATAACAGCAACCCAACCAATCATCTCTCAACACAGACTGTAAATAACAGCAATCCAACCAATCATCTCTCAGCACAGACTATAAATAACAGCGATCCAACCAATCATCTCTTAGCATAGACTATAAATAACAGCGATTCGACCAATCATTTCTCATCATAGAATATAAATAACATCGATCCAACCAATCAGCTCTTAGCATGGACTATAAATAACAGCAATCCAACCAATCAGCTCTCAGCACAGACTATAAATAACAGCGATCCAACCAATCATCTCTTAGCATAGACTATAAATAACAGCGATTCGACCAATCATTTCTCATCATAGAATATAAATAACATCGATCCAACCAATCAGCTCTTAGCATGGACTATAAATAACAGCAATCCAACCAATCAGCTCTCAGCACAGACTATAAATAACAGCGATCCAACCAATCATCTCTTAGCATAGACTATAAATAACAGCGATTCGACCAATCATTTCTCATCATAGAATATAAATAACATCGATCCAACCAATCAGCTCTTAGCATGGACTATAAATAACAGCAATCCAACCAATCATCTCTCAGCACAGACTATAAATAACAGCGATCCAACCAATCATCTCGCAGCATAGACTATAAATAACAGCGATCCAACCAATCATCTCGCAGCATAGACCAGTGGCAGCATAGACCAGCATAGACTATCTACTAAGGGGGGGGGCGGAGGGGGCAGTCCGCCACGGGGCCGTCAGGGTGGGGGGTGCCTTGGGAGGGGGTGCCGCCAGGAGCACCGGCCCCCCTCATGCTGCAGCCGCCAGAGCGTTCTGTAGAGACTTAGCACTTTGCTATTTCCAAACCATTTTTTTTTCAAAATGAACGCAAGTTACATTGTAACACTGATATCTGTCAGGAATCCCTGAATAACCCTTCACATGTGTATATTTTTTAAAAGAAGACAGCCTAAGGTATTAAACGTGGGGTATTTTGACTCTTTTCATGCAACTGTTATACCACCAACCTATGCCAAATTATATTAAAAAATAAATAAAAAATGGTCATTTTGTTGACAGACATAGCAATTTAAGAATACATGTACGGATAACTTTAAGGGTTACTGTAGCGGAGAGCTGGTCTCTTACAGACTATCTCCGCTGGTAATCCAAATAAGGCTCAGGAACAAGTAATAAAACCCAAGAGAATAATATCCACGATTAGTACAGTAATCCAAAAGTATCCCACACGTTTCACGTTTCACTGGACAACACACAGCATTAGGAACAGAACTGAACTGAGGTTTAATTTCACATGCCTGTTTTTAAGCAATTCACCCATGCAAGGGAGACACCCACAGTAATTAATACAGTAACCAATAAAATACATGTTACCTCCCACACATCTCCTCCCCTCAGCATGACATATAATCCACTTAATCCGTGTACAGTATTTCCCCAGTTCCTGGATGTACCCCAAATACATGGGGTACACTCCTAAATAGATCCCCTGATAGCCCTGATATGGGTGAGTAACATACCCAAAAATCACACAGATCGGACCAGGGGTTCGGGAGTTATGGAAGAGTAAAGTTTTGACCGACCACACAGGTAACAGTAGCCGAAAATAGTTCCATAAGTTTTGGCCTTGTCGTCGGTCTTCGTTAGTGGGTATAAACAGATGAAAATACCGAATGAAATGGCTGTTGCTTGCCTTCATGTGAATCCCCTTGCTCGGATGAGTCTTTCAAAGCTATGGAAGTCTGGAGGTCTCAACGATGTTTGCTTAGTCAAGTGTCCGATTTGGGTTCCAGACACTCGATGACCAAACACTGCTGTTCGTATCCCGAATCTCTTGAGTACAGTGATACTCCCCATGTATAGGTGTGTCGGGTTCCCTGGGGACTAAAAGACCTTATTTGGAGAGTGTACATTCCAGTTTTCCAACTTGGAATTGTAACGGCACCCCCAGGCAGGTTAAACCGCCATTTAGAAGATCTTCCCCTTCCAGAGACACAGGCAGCTACTGTAGACACCACTCCATCGAACCAGAGAAGCATATGAATGCTCTCAAACATACAAATACTGTAAACAGCCGAATAGGAAAAACCATACGAATAGGTTTACACTCCTAGCAGTTGAACTGGAACAGCATACAATAAATCCCCCCCAAGAACGAGACAAGGCTCCGTTTTGGGGGTCAAGCAGGAACAGACAGAGCTGTGGGTTTATTGTCCTTATATACACATTAGTACCACCCACAGGGTTTTGGAAAACAACCAATAAACACATACAATACACTCAGACACTCCCACACAAAATCCTCCCCT